TACACACGAGAGAACAACAAAGCTGTGAATGCTACGATATATATTCCAGTCTATCGGCCTTTTTTTTTATATTTCTCAGACAGCAATATCCCGTACACGACAGAGCGTAGCAGAATTTACAGTGGCGATCGGAACTTTGTTATTAAACTTGTAAAGACAAATTGAATCTCACAGGCAAATCAATTTCCATACCATATTTTCAACGAAGCTTCAAACGGCCTGTGTTTATATCAAATTCTTTTCTTATTTATTTCCATAGAATATGTGATAAACTGGGACGCCCTATTCCATCCCCAATTAACCACCTTATCCGAAACGCTAATTGCTTCATAATACGACAGCAAACCCGCGAAAAATATTTCCGCCGATCGCAATTTCCGCACATCGAGTATATACCAACAGCCGGATAACAACGGCGTGCGTGCACAATATCAAACTGACCGACTAAACGCGACAAATTTTCGCGAAACGCGTCACCATGATAGAGTAACCCGCGCGGTTCATTATTCCGTAACCCTGTTTCTCCGGTAATTGCATTAATCGGGTCGGCGCATAATACAGGATTTGCGATGCACAAACGGTATCACGGTCCTTATCGAGATCGCGAGAAACACGGCTGCGAGCGGTATATTGCCGTTTAACACGTGTCGACGCTCGCGATCGGTCTACTTTTCTCCGTTTTCCGCGCCCTTTTACCCCGCTGGAGCAGATTCAAGGGCTCTCCGACCCCTGCGCGTAGATTCGCGATGGAGGCCGCGTCGATGGATCGGCACGCGACGAGGCTGAATTTTTACGCTGATTGTCTCTCCGTTGGGGGAGAGGGACCGTTTCGCGATCCACGCGAATTCGACGCGCCATTTTACACGTGTTCTTCGTTCCAACCACGATTTCGCGGCGATTAAGCTGTGCCTAAAGAAACGGTTCGTAATAATGTGAACTTGTAGAAGAAAGTTGGGAACAACGTAGTCCGGTGGAACGTCGTACGAGGAGTAGTGACTAAAACGAGAGGTAACGAAGAAAGTTTAAATTGCAATATAGAATTGCAGAACGAAACAGGTGGATCGCGGTGTTACGTCCGTAACCTCCAAGTCTAGCGGGGAAGCCATAGAAATCCTACAATGGTCACACACTCTGCGTTCACCAAAATTCCTTCGAGCAGTTACAGCGAAAAGGCACTCAAGGCTGGTGCAATAAATCAGGTAAGCACCGAGAGCCCGACGCGTCCGGGTCATGTCTTCGTCATCTTTCGATGCCCCCAAAAAAGGGCAATTGTCTAAACTTGGGTAGGCTCGCTGTACCCAAAAATTCCCAAACCTTCCTCCTCTAAGTCATTCCCACCACCCCGCGGACGACAGGAGAGGCAAGCGTCTTAAAAACCGACGCGCTTCCAGCGCGGGCACTCAGTTCCGTATCCTTGCATCAAGGAACACCCCTGTACCAAAGTTCATAGACATTTAAATGTGAATTAAATTCTGCGGTAGTCACTGTCGCCGCCCCTATCCCAGGTAAACTCCTTCAATGGACCGACGAAAGGTATGTAACCAGCGGAAAGAATAGAAAACGTTGGCCGTTTCGACGAGAAGAATCGGATTTCTAGAATTTCCGTAAACTATTCACAGTTAGACCGGGGACGAATCCGGGTAAATAACTTCCCAACGCGAGTTTCATTTATTACCGCGTTCCACTCGCGGCAATTACCGATCTCTCGTTGTGTGATTTCACAGTCATCAACCGCTCGAAAACGCCGGAACGAGCGACCGCCGCGGTGAAACCACCGATGAATGGGAATTTATTTTGCAGCATCATCCAATCGATTCATTAAAAAAAAAGAGGGGGAGAGACGATCGGGTGAGAAAGGAGGGGAAAGAAAATCAATTCGCTATTCCCCGCACATGGAGCTCGCGGCTTTTGACCGTTCCGCGTTACCATTTCGCGAAGGTTCGTCGACCCCTTTTTAATTAGGCGTCTAGTCTGTCCGATGCTCGTCCTAGTCTTGCTCTTCTTGTTCGCCAAGCATCGGTGCCTTAACGAACGTCGCGCGTTCTTTTTCCAACGACGCCGGCAGACTACGTGGCTGCCTTTGTTGGCTTCGTTCGCGACGTTTTCACATAAGTACGAGAGCGAGCGCGAAACGTTGAAGCGCTTGGTCCGTTGACCAAGCAATTTCGACGCGAATGGACGGAGACGAAAACGAGAAGCATTCTACGTCGTGAGGTTACCTCTCGAAACAACGGCTTGGCGAACCTCGGGTATTCCTGGTCCTCTCATTGCCGGTTTCTACATATACTCCACGCGAGTTTCAGCGCTCGCAGATGCCGGAGAAGAGCTTCTTATTGTTGGCACGTCGGAATGTTTCTCTTTCGCGTGTGATTTACCGAATCCACTTTATCCACGCAATTACCGAACGCTTTGTACGGAGTAAAAGGAACGGCGAGAGATCGTTAGGGAGGCGATGAAAACGTTTGGAAAAGTTCACGCGAGGGAAAATCTATGTAAATAACATGTTCGTCGAGTGAGAAAAAGTTGGCTGAGCCGGCGATCCCACTCGTTTACGCCCAGTAAATTTGTCGCGCTGAAAATTAGCAACCCCTCGAAATTCACGGCGTATTAACGAGGAGAGAAGACCGGCTCTTTACGATCGCCTTAACCAGAAGAGTTCGTCACGGAGGGCACGCGAGTTCACCATTAAAATTCGATCAGATAATCTTATTTGCCCTGCGATTAGGCTGATCGTTTCACCCCAGTTCTCTGTATACCTGGCCTGACTCTGTCTCTCCCGGAGCTGCTCGTCGCGGAGGGAGAGACGGGGGGACGCAAAGTTGGAGTCGATCAACCGGAGAAGAGTCACCCTTCGAGCGTGTCTGGAAAACGCCATCATCCTCCCTCCGCCGGCGACCTTAATTCGAGCGAGGGGTCGAGGTCTGTTCCCGGCGAGAGAATCTTTCGCGGCCCGCTGAAATTTCGCTAGCGCGCCGCCACGTCTGGGATCTGGGTCAATAGGCGGCTGCAATCGCTACCTCTCCTCCTCCCACGAGTCTAAAGGGTTACGATAGTGGCGTCGTTTCCGGGCGAGCCGCGCGCGAAAATAAAATCTCGAGGGTCCTGCCTTGCGGCCACAGCTGTAATCCGGCTGCAGGTTGCAATTGAAACAAGTGGCGTTGACGTTTCCAAATACCGGGGAAATTGTAATCCGCTTAGAGTAGGGGAAAACGAGAGGAAGAAATTATAGAACGTAACGATTTCTTCTCTATGTACCGGCGTTATCTTCCTTTTAAACCGTAAATGGACGTTTAAAAAGTAGGAAAGCTCCGTCGTAATGGTATAAAGAATGAAATTAATACGAGTTTCATGTACCGGAACAAAAGGATTAATTTGTCTCTGTGCAGAAGTGAGCATTCGTAATACACGAAAGTGTATCTCGCTCTCGTTTCGAGGGGAAGAAGAAGGAAAACAAGGAGGTTCACATCGAGGTGGAGGAAGGAGAAATTCCCGGTCGGTCGCGGTAGCGAGTCTGTATCTCTGCCGGTATTTCTGAAATGCGACCGTGTTTCGCGCGTAAATAGTTTTCCAGAAACGTATACACACCGGAAGTTGAGCGTTTGCGCGACACCCGGCGAGTTCCTCTTTCTACCTCTAACAACTATTTGCTTTCCAGGTGACCTTAATCTAGGAAATAGCCACTAAGAGCTGTTCTCTCCGCGAGGGCAAGCACGGCGAAACGCAGACAAATGGCCAGGAGTAGACGGAGGATAACGTAGACCACCGACAAAGAGAAAGAAACTGCTGTAGCCAGCTATAACGAAGACGAGAGAGGGAGGAAGGGGGATGAGAAGCAGCGTAGAGAGCAAGTCGAGGAAATGGTTGCGTGGTGGTACGTGAAAGACGCGCGCGCGCGAGCTTTTCCGAAATAAGGTCGTGTAAATTCAGAAGCTGGCCCGCCCGTCCCCCTCGGTAATTCCGAGAAACGGCGCCAGTTTGCATTAAGCCTGCGCCACCGTTGTCTCGCGGATCGGTTATGAAACGGTTATGCGCCCGCCGGATTCTGCTCAGCTCGACGTAAGCGGCGGCGAATTAAAATGTAGCCCGGTGTTTAAGACGGCCGCGAACTTGTCGCAACGGATCTTCGCGGATATTCTCTCTCCTAGCAACTTTGAGCCTAACGTCTAATTTCTAGCAAAGTTCCACGCTTGTTACAACGCTGTTGTCATTTTTCTCGCCCCCTTTTCGTCGCTTGCCGAATAGAGGGAGGAGGGAAGTTTAAACACGATGAAATTCGGCGTGTCCTCCCGCCACCAGGTCCTGGTGCCTCTTAACAACGAGGAAATTCAAAGTAAACTCGAAAGAGAGAAATAAAAAGAGAGGAGAGGAGGTTGGCGCCGTAAAAGCGCAAACTTCGCTGCGCAAATATTTATCGCGAGAGGAGACGAGAGCAAACGGTTGCCTAGGGTTAACGCAACAGGGAGTCGGAGGAGACGAGGCCATTATTCTCTTCTGAACTTGGCCCGAGAGTCGTCCTTTCGGTTTACATAATTTAAAAACAAGACTAACTGGGTCGTCGTCCAACAGATCCTCGCGATCTTCGTGTCTCGGACGCTGGCGTTCAACGACATCCGTAAACGAGCAGAATTCGAGGGAGAGTCTCGTCGAAAGGAGGAATATACGTGTACCGAGTCCGCGGAGGAAACTCGGTCAACGACTTAACCAGATTTGCCGAGGAAAACTTTCTGAAAATTGACGAAGGACGGGGAACGCCGACAACGACGACGACGACGACGACGACGACGCCGCGAACAAGAACGAGACGACGTCGTTGATGCCCCTCAGGACAAAACATCTTCCAGCGGAGCTTTCTTACCTCCTTGTCGGGAGCTGAAGGCACCGGTGCTTCCAGCGATGATTAGAAGCAGCAGCGGGCTTAATAAAGCTCTCGAGGAAGGCAGCATCTTTCCTGTACTCCTACCGGCGCCTGCGCGACACAGGGTCCTTTAACCCGCTTCCCTCATCACAGCCCCTCTGGAAAAAAGAAGAACGAGGATGAATGGTAAGAAATTGTCTGCGAGAATTCGTCTCTCGTTTGAGAGATAGAGGTAACCTGAAATCAAGCGACCATCTGTACATACGTCTATACATATGTGCATGTATACGACGAGAGATAGTACTATAGTAGATTCGGTGAATATTGGACAACAAAAATATTAAATTACGACGTCTACAATAGCAGATGAAAATTGAAAACCACTCTTCGATATTGATATCGAATACCGTTATCAATTTTATCATGCATATGGAATTACTGTAGCGGTTTCGAAAGTTTCGCCGGGTAGTAGCGTGTATCCGTCCGAAAGTAATAACGATTTTTCTATCGTAGAAGGTAATGTTATCGAAACAAATTTCCACGAATTACGGTCCGTGCCCGGTTTTCTGGTGGCGGCAAAGCGAAGGTTAACCCTTTGTTCCGTCCGTCAATTGCAATTATCCCGGCTGCAAGGCGATTACCCGTGTAATTCTTTTCCACCCGGCAATATCCTACGGGCGAGAGGCGAGGCGAGGCGGAGCCGCCGATCCGCCGGGTTAATGAGCCCGGAACATTTAATCCGACGTTCATTAAGGCGTCAAAATTTGTTACCTTGGCCGGGGCGCGAGAATAAAGCCTCCCTCTCCCCCCTCCCGCGTGGATAGCAAACGGATCCTGGGCAATCGTCGCGAATAAGCGGCCATTATCCTTCCTCCTCTTGCCGAGATATCGGAAAGCTCGCGCTCCTTCAGCTCGATCGACAAATCTCCCTCCCGCGTTCTCTGTGTACGTATATTCGTTAATTCTCGTTAAACGAACGATTCGCGTGTATTAATTAAACAGTAATTAGCTCGGAATATTGGTCGGTCGTTTATTATATCTCACCGACGGGTAATTGCCCTTGCAATTTCTCCGCCGTTATCGTTCCTCGAATTAAAATGTAATAAAATTCTGTGCCGATTAACGACCGCGATCGTTTGTTTCGCGTAATAAACGTTGCCCCGTAAATTACCTCTCGCGGCAGAAATGGGGCAGAATTTCAATGGCAACGCACCCACGCCAATTCCTCCGCGATGTTACGGATTTTTACGTCGGCCACCTTTTCTCCATCCCTCCCGACGTATTCGTCACGGCCTCGACCTCTCCCCTCGATCTTGGCCGGGGATCCGATATTTTTAACCCGTCATTAGGGGTCATTAAGCTCCCCGGCCAACGGTGACCCTCCGAGCCAATTGCGGCTTCGTCGGTGTTAAAATTAAAATGTCCACCCCTAACGACGCGCGATACCAAAGGAGGAAACTTCGCCTTTTTATTAGCCCACGCTATTTCACCGCTTTTGCTCGCCACCGATTTTTACCGTACACGAAAATTCCGGGCAGTTGCGTGAAATGTCAAACGAGATGGATAATCTGCGATTGGCCTCGCGCTAAATTTCACGAAGACAGAGAGGTTCTGGAGTCCGTCGAGATTCAGGGGACAGATGAAGCGTCTGGAGGCGTCGGTGTTTGCCCGAACTTATTTATTTTTGCGCGGATGACGGGAAGAGAGAAAGAGGGCAGGAAACGTAGCGAGGCAAGGCGGAAAGAAGAGAGTGGTGGTGGCCCCGAGGGCGCGTTGGGTTTCCATTATGCTAAACCGCAAATGGAGTCCTGCGATCGAGTGTCTCTTTGCGCCACCCCCGGAGGTGCACAAAGCCGCTCGAATAAGGCTCCTAAGGTGTAATGTTACCGAGAAATTAAATTCTCTCGTTCTCTGCGACCGCCTTCGCCTCCGGCTCGCTCCATGCGTCGTCCGATTCTAGCCTCCGTTCCCCTCCTCCACGCCTCCTCGCTACAGGTCGTTGCACCGACCGTCAGGACACTCCTCCAGCGAAAACAACTCGATTTTCAAAGGGCGGCGGTCCCTTTACCTCTTCTCCTCTGCTTATTCGTCTTTTCGCTTGAAAAAATCTACGGGAGATGAAGATCCTCGGATAAATTGTTAACCTACTTCCAGAACTCTCTTTATTTCTCGTCCCGCGTCACCTCGGGAAGTTAAACAAGCCCGCAGAAGATACGAGTCGATGGGCAAAGTATCTGCTAGGTCATCCCGTAAGTTCGTTATAAAAGCGACAAATATTTTCATGAAAAGTTTGTGGAACGAGAAGACGCTTACGTTCTTTTTTATCAAATTCGAGAATTCGTTGGGAGTACTCGTCTAGATTGTGAAATTCGACAGAAACGTACGGGATAGGGACCAAAGACGATGTTACGCGGTGTTATTGAACGAGCTGTACCCAACCGCGTTTCTTCCTCCGGCACCGTGCCGGCGCGGCGGCGTGCGCCGCTATCTGCACACGTATGCGAACAAAAGGATTCGCCTGACATCTGAGCTTTTTGCCGGCGGGAGCACATCCTCGACGATGATTTTCTCAGGTTTTCCCCGCGAGCTGGCCTTCCCAGCCGTCTCGGTGAATTACGGCGAAGAGCTCCCGGTGAATTTTGATCACGCTCGAAGACGCTCAACTCCCTAGGCGACTCTCGCATCCGCGCGAGCGATTTCTCCCTCGAATCGCCACCGCGCTTGGTCTTCGACCAAAAGTGGCGTCAGTTTCCCTCCGTCGTGAGCTGCCAGTGACACGGGGTTTTTCGCAAAACCACGAATCGTTTGAAAAGCGCGGAACACTCCTCCTCCCCGATCGATCCAACTTTTCATCTCTTTGTTTCGCGTTGGGAAAAATTGCACGTCAAACGGAAAAAGGGGTCAACGAGGTTGGTTGATCGCGGCCAGACTAACCCACCGTACACACCTCTACCAAGGCGTCAGCCTTTTCGTGGACAGTTGAACGGCTGGGTTGTCGAACTTCCCTCGCCGAGCAATGTAGCGGAAATGGTTGGCTGGGCTGGTAGTGGAGAGACTCGCGCCAGCAGACGATGTCAGCGTGTACGATCTGGAAACGTAGAATTCGAAACTTCGCCGTGATTCGTAGAGCGTTCCCTCCAAACTTCCCCCTGTATAAATATTGAATCTCTATCAGCGATCCCGCTTTGACATCGTCGCGACGCTGCCGAACGAAGAATATCGACGCCACCGGTGAGAATGTTCCCTTATTTATCTGTTCACTTCAACCACGCCAAGTAGCTCTTACTACTGTTCGGTTAAATTGTACAGCTGATAGTAGAGTTACAAACGAACCGGGATCGGGAGCGTTTCCTGAGAAACCTTTCCGCGAGAACTCGACGAGGCACGTTAGTTCCAACCGTTGCGGAAAAACCCAGGGCTGAATGTTGAGATTTGGAAGAGAGGAGACTTTGAGTTGATCTTTTATTTCTTCACTCTTGTTAATGAATTATCGCTCGATCGCTAAACGAAAATCCCACGAAACCGCGATGCACCACGTACAAAACCTCACCATCTACCGTCGTCAAGTGGATCCATCGAGGATTAGCATGGACGAAGGGCGCGGAACGTTCGTCTCAATTAAAATATTATTCCGCGGGGCAGAGGAATTAAAGACGGAGCTCCGCGGAATTGAAAGGCGATCCCTTTGGCTATAGGAACGGCGGGGATGGTGGAGGACAGGGTCGGAACAAAGAAAATCCTCGAATAACCTTCGAAATCCGTGGAGTTCGAAGCGTCGGCGTCGGCGTCGCGGTGGAACGTCGGACTCATTACCATCCATCGTATTTCAACGTGGTTCTTTTTTTCTCTCTCCCTCTCCATCCGCCTGCCTCTCCCCATCCTCGACGTTCTCGTGAACGAACGGTGAAAATTAAGGTACGCCTTTCATCGCAATACTGCTGAACGCGGCACGAACGAGATTAGAGCCGCCTCGGGGGCGTATCTCGTCTTTCGAATTAGCGCCAAACTCGTCTCACTTGTATCTGCCTGCGGGAAAAACGAGAGGAAACGGACCGCCGCGACGGTTCGAATCATTCGAATGTTTCCCACCGTTTATCGTCGCGAACGCGCGCCGCAGTTCTGTGTCACATGTGCGGCTACAGGGATTAACGGAATTCGTAAATTCACGTCGTCCAGGTTCCCACGGGTTTATGACGTTCGATAAAATTTGTCGTTGGATTTTGGTGGCGATATTTTAAGATTTTCCCCGGCGCAAATTCGTTGGGAGAATTTACGCGTCGATATCCGGGGGTGAAGTTACAATTTCGCGTTACAGTTTAAAGAGAAAAGCCGAGGTTAAAAGGAGAAAAGGAAGGAAGAATAGAACCATCGAATAATACCTGAAAGTTTAGCTTGTTGAAAAAAAATTCCTGGTCTCTGTGGGAATTACGAGCTGTCCACCCCACTCCGTAGGTGGCCGAGCCCCGAAATTCCGTGCTTCGCTAGACGGAGGTGGAAAAAAGGAACGGTAGGCGGAAGGAGAGACACTGGACGGAAGACGACAACGAGGAATGCTCGGTCGCAAACAATGGTGGAATTCTGCTCGGTGAAAAATTTCCAGCGTCAAATTACACCCCTGCCCGTCCTCCTCCTTGCACGATGGTCCCGTCATATTTCGTAATATCGCGGAATCTCGAGGAGGACCGTGGCTCGGTAAATCGTTTTCGAATGGAAAGGAAAACTTGTTACACCGGCGATGGAACCAGCGGAAAATGGAAGACGCTCCCTCTCTCCAGGGCCAGGTCAAGTGAAATGTAACGGGCAGAAGTAGGAAATAGAGCGGGTGCCGTGAACACGTAGAAAAATCGCAAGTTACGGATCGCGGGGGAGCGACCAGAGCAACGAGAGAACGAGGCGTTATCAAAGAGATAACGAGTGTGGATGTTTCGCTACGAATGGACGGTTGTCGTTTTTCGGGAGGAATCGGGAAAATTGGTTGGACATAGTTGTCGGTGAAGAGCGAGGAGAGGCGACAAGAAAGAGGGAAATTGCAAGGTTGGCGGATACGAGGTTCGAAGGAGCATCGATTTCTCGTCTGGAGGAAAGAAG